ATCATCGTCGATCGTCGACCAGGCAAATCACAAGACAATGAAGAAAGAAACGGCACAATGGCGTGCTGCGTCGTATGTTTACTCAAGGGATGGTAACTCTCCTATTCGAGCAATTTGACGATTGGCCTTTGGCGGTGGCAACCAAGAGGCTTCAAATGAATGACTTTGCCTCGACTAACTACACCGTCGACATTAAGGCAAGTCAAAGCAACTTCGAGGGTGGCAACTCGAAGGCTAAACGAGCACTTGGCCTCGACGATCAAGCAGATTCGGCGACAAGGGCAAGTCCTGCGTTCGGTGGCAAGTAGGGCTGTGTTGGCATTCGCACAAGTCCAACGGAACGGTGGTGCGACCTCTAGTAGAGCAGCTTGAGGCTCGAAATGGGAACTTCGCCTCGACGAGAAATATTTCGGTGACAAGAGCATTCCCTGTCTTCGCGTTCGACAAGACGGTTGGCCAAGACAGGCTTCGATGTCCAAGGATAAGAAGCTGACCATGTGTATATGTACTCTCTCCCCTCTTTCCGTTTGTTTTCATGTTTATGTTATCTTCTCTTGTTCCTTTTTTTTTCGCTTTTTCTTTAATTTTTTCTCTGGTGTTAACTTCTTCGCCCTAGTCATTGTACTAGTGATTTTTTTGATGCGCGGGGCGCGCATCTTTGTTTGGCCGGGGAGGTGTTATGATCTGCCATTCCTGGCAGCTCATAAGACTATGTTGTCTTCTTCTTGTCCTTTCTTTTCTGTTTTGCAGTTGTTTTCCAATTCTTTCTGTTCTTGCGCAATACTTGTGTCATCCTCTGGTTTTCCCAACTCTTTCTATTCTTGCGCAACTCCTGCGCAACTCTTGCATAACTGTTGTTCAGCTTGTGTACTATATATAGCCGTTCACTTTATGCAAATAAATATGAGAAGTGAGTAGTACCTCACACAAACAACAATTCTATTTAATATTTGTACAATTTTATCAAAACAGAATAGTAAACATTGTTCGAACCTTCTTATATCAACACTAAAAAGACATAATGACATATTTTCAAATGTTTGTTTATTTAAATTTCGTTTATTATTGTTAAATGAATTATCAAAAAATGATGAAGATATCAGTGGTGGTCTACACGTGTTGTTAAATTTTCAAAATTTAACGAATGATGCAATTCACAGCTTAATGGAATTAAAGAAAAAATTTATAAAAAAACGTGATCAAAGCGTTATCTTTGATAAAATTAAATCGGCCACATATCAACCTTTACGAGAATTTATTCGAGTATTACTGGATGAGAGTAATCATAACCTAGATGCATTGAAACAAGTTCTTGAGCAATGCCTTGGTCGATTAAAGATTTCTGAATTGAAATCGGTGGAATATCGTATTAAATTATATTTAATACAAGCAACAATTTGTAAGTTGGAGAATGAACCAGTTAAAGCACTGGATATTTTGCATGATGCATTGCTGTGTTACCCGCACAACGATGTTGTCAATTGTCTAGTCATATTTATCAACGATAATGAATTTTATCAAACGTTAATTAATCAAAATAACTACGATTTTATTGTGTCAGGCAATATAAATCCACCTACGACAATCATGAATTTGAAATTTCTGAAAAAAGATAATCAGTTAACAATGATAAAAAAATATGAACAATCAGTTATCAAACACATGCAAAATAACTTATTACAATCAGCAATATCTTACATTGATTTTTGTATGGTTGCTCGTGGCGATGCAACAATGATTGCAACAAGTATGTTAATAGCATGTCTGTATTTTCATAAATTAATGAAACAATCACTATCATCGAAAGCTGAATTATATGCATATCGATCAGTTATATTTAATTTATCTTCAGAAATATTTCAGATGACAAGACATTATTTACCATTACATTTAGAATTTTACATATACAAACTGTTGTTCACATTAATCTCACGTTCAAACGAATTACTCAAAGCATGTTGCTTGTCAAAAACTAATTTTCGCAGAACAACTTCTGAATTAATTATAACAAATAATCATCGTTTTATACTTGAACAATTATTAACAAGTATCTCTCGTGTCGCAAAAGTATCATCGTTTATACAGTTACCAACATCCTCAGTATATGATACACTGTATTTGAAAGCAACTGGAAAAAAGTTTCTTGAAAAATATTTAAAATTTATGTCATCCAATAATTACATCTATCAATATAATCTGTTTGAAGGTATCTGGAAAGGTTGGATATCAAATGAAAGTTTCAATGATGAACGTATTTATTGCATGGAATTAATATTAGAAAATCATGAGTGGTCTATGAGCGATGTTGAATTTATACTTCAGTAGCCAGTCATACCACGAACACCAGATGGTTGGCTATTAAACAACAAACATTCATTACAGCTAAGTAGGGAGCAGACATTTTCCAGATGTATTGGTATAACACTGAACATTGATAATGGACAAATTGATTTTTTATTTGAGAAGGAAAATAATGCAGATGGTCTGTTTGATTTTAATGATGTAAGAGAAATATTTTTTAATAATTTAACATATACAGTATTTTCACTAGAACAACCAAATACAGAATTTTTAGTACATCCGTTTGAGAACATCTTTTAACGATCTCCATAAAAAACTAAGGCGTTCCACACCACCTTCAAAATGGTGGCTTGTAAGAGATTTCTCATACCATCATGCGTTTAAATATTGACTATACACCAGATGAAAATCACAAATGTCTATATATGTTCTATTAAATGTTCGAGAGTCTTTATTTTGAAGTTGAAAACCGATGAAGGTCGCGCAAGTAGTTCCGTAAGAGCCATTATCTGAGAGAAGCAGACAATTACTCATAGGTAGAGATTATTGATTTCATATATTTAAATGACACTCATACCAGTTGTAGGTCTATATGTACCTAGATAATGGTTTAAATGGCGTCACTTAAAACTGCTTCGTTCTCGAGGTATAGAGGGCGCTAGAGATGGTACTACAAATCGATCATTCTAATTACGTTTAGAATTAAGGTTTTTTACCTATACAAACCAGCTTTAAAAACTATCTTTTAATATGAATTTATACTTCAGAACACGGGCTACCTTTTTCGTCCTTCACAGGCTTTAAAACCGCTTCGCCGAAATAGAATCCTTGGTTTAAACGTGTGACTCAATAATCCGATTTTCTCTCTGCACGAAAATGTTTATGGCTCAAGCTTTATATCAAAATATAAACCATACTAGGATGTATTTAGACAGCAGATTTTGGGTTCTGGTCAATTCTTTTTCCTAGAATATTTCTCAAAAACCGGTTTATCAGAAAACTCAGAACCATGAAGACCCCCTTAGAATTTATTCTCGCCCTCTCGAGGTGGTAGCCCGTAAAATTCTGATGAAAATGAGACATCTTTCAGCTCATTACATGTTTTACTGAACGAGATGCGAATTTCACAAAATTCTCATAGAGACCTATATACGTATAAATTCCAAAACTGGCATGCGTTTTAAACAAATTCCTCACCGTTCCTCTTTCATCATAAAAACTTAGTTCTTGGATAGACCGATAGAGAAATGTATGAACAGTATTTATTGAGAAAAACGAAAAAAAGTTTGTGTTTTGCTTCCTGTTATCGACTAATTAGTTCTAACTAGCATCAATTTATGCTACACTACTCTATTAAAGTCCTATTTCTAAAATAAAAATTCAATGAATAAATGCAAGCGATAACTCATCTGATAGAGAATTTCACGGGCTACAAAACAGGCTATCACAAAATCTGTTTGTACTCCGTCAAGACGCTCAAAGTAGAATTCATTTTCAGGGAAAGAGACAATTTGTGGAATATAGGTCCTTATGAGAATTTTGTGAAACTAGCATCTCGTTCGATAAAACGCGTACAAAACTGGAAGATGGCTCATTTTGATCAGAATTTTACGGGCTACCACCTCGAGAGTGCGAGAAAATGTTCCAAGGGGGTCGTCACGGTTTTGAGTTTTCTAAAAAATCGATCTTTGAGAAATATTCTAGGAAAAAGAATAGACCAGACACCAAAATCTGCTGTCTAAATACATCCGAGTGTGGTTTACATGACCAAAACTTGAGCTATAAACATTTTCGCGCAGAGATTTTTGAAAAACTGAAAATTTTACTTAGTTCAAAAACCGACAATATTACAACAAAACTAATTTTTTGAACTCCTTTTATGCATTATAGCTTTGCGACTTTTTTCATCTTATTCAGCATGAAAAAACCGAATAAGAAAATGTGAATTCAACATCGTTCGCATATAACGCGGACTGAAAATTTCCGAATCTACTGACGGTCGAGAAACGCTGCACTGTTCCGATTGTAAATCTATCTAATTTTTTTGGGTAACCAACG